GGTTGGGGGGTCCCCACCACATGAGGAACTGTATTAAAGGGTCACGGCGTTAGGAAGGGGGAGAACCACTGCATTAAGGCAACCCAGCTCTTTGTATTTCCTCCCTGGTCAGTCTTTGCTGCTCTGCCGGCTGTCTGACCTATAACCTCTTCCCATTTGACCCAGGCCCAACCTCCCAGCCAGGAAGAGTTAGAGGTGGGGCGAAGAGGGAGAAGGGGTGTGGTGGGCTTGAGAACAGTGGTTTCACACAGAGATCCAAAGGGGAAAGAGAGACAGAGAGAGAGAGAGAGAGACTGCTCTCAACCACTACCACCAACAAAAAGAGATTAGAATGAAGCAATGTAATGATAAGATGCAAACATAGGAAAAGCCATGGTTAGTGACCTCAGATCAAACCATCCTGCTCTTCGAAGGCATGTACCTCATTGTCCCCCACCCCTCACCCTTCCAGGCTGCCCTTCAAGCTGTTGGGAGTTTCAGTGAGCCGAAATCCTGCAAAGGATGCCAGGACGGCAACATACAAGGGCCTATGCTGGAAAGCGTACCTGTGCTTGTTTTCAAAGTTCTGCTCCAACTCGGCGCACCGTGTTTCCATCTCACTGGCGAGCTGGAGACGAAGCCTCACATTAACAACCCAGAGCGAAGCCCTCGGCACAACCTGCCTCGGCTGCATAGCAGACACTGCTCCACACAGCTCCTGCTGCGGTGCCCAGGGAACCCAGGACTCCTGAGGCAATGGAACCATGCGTGCTTGTCTCTATTCTTTTGCACTTAATCAGTTCCTAATGTTGGTATACAGAGACCATCTCTCTCACTAGCTGAGTCTGGTCCCTTCTGCTAGACTCTGGTCTAAAACTGTGGCCTTCAGGTTCTAAGGATTTTGACCGAGAGAGCCAAAGAGGGCTACGATTCCGACCTGGCCTCCATTGACCCTGAAATCCAGTGTTGCTATGTCCTTGTTGACAGAATGGTCCAGTGCTAGCAAGCAGGGTTTGCTCATTCCATTCTAGTCTAGAAACATCTGGCGAGTGTCCCAGAAAGAATGGGTACTTTAAAACCACTAAGTGCTCACAGTCAGCTAAAGCCAGAGTTCAGGCTCCTGTCCTGAGCCAGGAAAGCGTTACATGGTCAAAGATGCAGGGCTGCTGGCCTCGCCAAGTGGTCAGCTCCAGCAGCCCTGACGGGCCTGCCACAGTGGGGGCCAGTCCAGGCTCTTCCGCCAGGCCACACAACAAACTGGTGAGTTCACAGTGGGGAGACGTTTAAGGCTCACAATGGTGGGTCTCTTCATGGAAATTGTCTTTAACTATGTCTTTAGCACAGACGGGGCCCTGGTGGTCTGTGGGAGTTAGATTGAATGTCAACCCTCACTGACGTCACAGCCTGATGCTGCCTCCTGGGGGAGACATGGCCTTTTTATAGGAGAAAAATCAGGGAACTTCCTCCTCTCTGCCCCTGTGCCTGCCTGCTTGTGGGGACTCTGGTAGCAACAGGAAAGGGGAATTGGAGGCTCCTGCCATGCTGGAAGCGTGGCGTGTGGGGGGTCTATCAGTGAGAGGTTCAGCCACTTAAGTCACCACACAGGTCACCCCGAGTGTGGGGAGAACCATGTCACTGAACACGCAGGAGCTACCCAGAGAACTTCCAGGAATAACTGAGTTCGATCTTGAAGAGAGACTAAAGCTCTTGCCATCCCGGATGGGAGTGGAGTCAGAGAAATCGGATGGGGTGGCCTAGGTCCTATCTTCAGATTGCTGTGGCCTGGATGACATGGTTTGCATGCGTTAAAAGACCCGGCATCTGGTTGGGGCTATAGCAGGTGATCTGAAAAGACTGGGTTTCCTCCTACATAGAACGATGTTAGATCATTCGAGGGACACTCACCAATTTTTGGGCAGCCTGGTGGTCCCTGTTCAATTGCTCTATGATCGCTGTCAGCTCCGAGATCTGCTCTTCTAGGTCAGAAATGATATTAGTCCTGTGGGACAAGTGAGTCTTCTCTCATCCACGGAGCTGACTTTTCTATCCAGCCAGGGTCCCCTGGGAGGGCGGGCTCTGGCCTGGCCAAAGCACAACACTGCCCTCATCGTAGGGGCTGAGGGGGAGGGCGGAGGGGTGGTCCAGGAGAAGGAGTTGGCTGTAGGGTGGTTGAGCCCCAGACTACCCTTTTGGACTAGCTATCCAGAGTGGGGGGGCAGGGAGGGGCGGGTTGGCGCCCTCTTGAACAGCAGGGAGATTGGAATCTGTCAGAAATGGATTTGGATTTGCTCTTGCTGTGTGAATAATTGTAGTGATAAGGCTTCGAAGCTTGGAGAAGAGAACGTGGGAACATAGGACTGGTGGTGACGGTGACTCACGAACGAGGAATGGGTCTGAGATGGAAGTGAGGGTGGACGGCATCGAGCGGCTTTGAGAACAGGAAGACGGCACCCTGTTTCTGAGCCTGGGCTCTTCCTCACACCTGCAGGTTATTCAGTTGGACTTGGTGGAGGTGGAGTAGATAGGCTGGCCGGCAGTGCTGATGTCCAGTGGAGCTAAAAGAGGGTCCCCAATCCTGTCTACCTGGAGGCAGGGAGGATGCGGAATGAGAAAAGCGGAGGCAGGGTACTGGAGGAGAGCGTGCCAGCGTCCAAGGAAGCTGAATCGCGGGGCAGTCCCGTCTTTGGGCTGTGATCGCCACTGTCGATAATCGATAATCCTCACACGCGTGGGATACTTCTTCCGTCTTATTTTGCCACAAGCTTCTCAGAAGACCAAGAAATGGATGTGGTGCTGCCTTTGCCTGTGGACCAAGGCCCGCTCTCTTGCTGCAGAGGGTGGGCAGCAGGGGTAAGAAATGGGACTGAGGCTCCCCTGGATAGGAAGGAGGAGTTCAGCTCGGGTTTCTCTGGGCCAAGTCAGAGCGGGCGACCCTGAGGCCTGGCCTCACCCACAAAGGTGTGTGGAGCCATCAGCCTCACCCTTAATCCGAAGGCCTTTGAAGAGGTAAGGACGGCCGCTGACAAATTGTGTCCTTTCTATAAACCAGTTGTCACAGAGTCTGTTCCAACTCACGGAGAGGCCTCGGGTGTCAGAATCACACTGGGCTCCACTGTGTGCTCCGTGGCTGATTTTTTCAGAACTAGACGGCCAGGCCTTTCTTCCCAGGTACTTTTGGGTAGAGTAGGGCTTCCAACCATCAGTGAGCAGCGGGGCACATCAACTGTTGCACCCGCCAGCTTCTCCATACACTGACAGCTACCAAGTACCTAACAAAGTGTGTGTGTGTGTGTGTGTGTGTGTGTGTGTGGTCTGGTGGTGATGGTGTTGTCTAAATGTTTTGAGAATGATGAGGGCAATGAATGTACAAATG